ACACCAAATATAAAGGAAGACATATTTATCATTTGAGCACATATGCCAACAAAAATGCACACACTACTCCATACGAAAGCAATTTAAATGAAAAAGTCTGGGTAGCCCTTTTGCCTTTTCTTTCTGCTCCCTTTCCACCCTCTCCATTCTTTCCATCCTATTTATTTTATCTTCCTGTCATGACTTTATTTTCTTCCTATTCTTCTCTTACTTTGGAAAGAGGCTGTCAAAGGGAAAACAGATGCACTCACATTTTTCTCCCAATTTTGATCATTGTATGGTTTTTGAATATGACTAAGGATCAAAACTAATCAACAGATGGTTGGCAACATGAATATTCATAAACTCTGAAATACTGTACTTCTCTGACAGATATTATTTAGATGTAAAGAGTATATGTGTTGCCTAACCATCATATTTTGGAAGAGAAAGCTACATTCTTTTTAATTATCCCCTGTTCTTATGAAGTGCATGTTTTAGACAATAAACGGTGATATGTGCATGCATGCTTAGAAAAGGTAAAATTTGTGCTAGAAACCTGCCATGCATCTTCATGAACCTCTAACATCCTCTGTTTGAAAATCAAACTATTCCAAAGTTTCATTTCCATGGCAGGCGGGAATAAAATATATTAAATATTACTGAAAATAATAAAAAATAATTTAGATTTGCAACTAAAAGAAGATCCAAGAAGATCCTAAAGAAAATCCAAGAGGGTCATGACAATGAACCAGTGAGGAAATAAGCAATTAAATCTAAGTATTTATTTACACTCAGACATACATCAACAGCAAGTAACTATCTATTTAAGTAATAAACTGCTGCCACCTTCTGAATAAAACTCAGAATAACTATGAGTGTGGTCTTCCTCACAAGGCAGAAATAATGTGATATGCTTTCTAATTCCAGAAAATTAGGCAAAAAAAGCAAGTTCAAAGCAAGAGTCAGAAGGTGGATGCTGTGCCTGCTTTGCAGAAGCCACCCTGCCTCTCCTGGACCTGCTGTCACCCTTGCCAGCAGCACGGGGCCACCTCACTGGTAAAACTGAAAATTTAATGTGTGTCACACAACTGGTGAGGCCATCGCTTGATGATAAAAATAAAGCTAAATCAAGCTTTTGAAACTGCATTTTTTTAATTTGAAACTCATTTAGCCTTCATGCCAAGAGCTTCCAAGAACAGCTTCTCACCAGCATGCTTGCAGCTTGTTGCTAAAACAGAAAACATTACCCTTTTTTTCATTTTTGCATATATCTGTATTTTTTTTACTTCTGAGCAGAAAGGCCACTGCTAGGAGGTGGCACCTCCACAATTTATTCTTTGTCTCCCTCATATCCACACAACGCCGGGTAGCTCACGGGTATTTTTCAGCATCAGCTGGTCGGTGGTGCCCGGGGCACGCACTGGGGCTGCCCTTGGACACCAGCCGGGGAGAGCCCTGTCTCAACCCGCTCCTGGAGGGGAAGCGCGGGGAGCAGCGGGAGCCCTTTAAAACACGGCGGTAACG